CTTGACGAATTGCTCCTTTACGAAGAAGTTGTTGTATTTCATCGAGCAATACTGGCGAGCATGATGTAAACCGGATCAGACTCGATGGAGGAATGATGTCGAATTCTATCCGATAGCCGTGCTGTATGATGGATAATACCCACCGGTCAGATGTGATGGACTCCCAAATGGGGAGTCGGCTTCTCAGCCAGTCCCCAGATGAGAGGGAGGTGGGTATGGAAGGGGTCAGAGGAATGGTTCGCCAGTCCCGTCAACGCTGCCTCCTATCTCTGTCATAACGGCGACGGCCCTGTTGATAACATTGCTGGGGCTGTTGATGGAGGCGTTGCTGTTGCTGCGGCTGTTGCCTAGGCTGATAAGATTGTCTATAGGATGGATAGATCCATGCCCACTTACGCCTAGGTTGAGTCTGGAGCTCTATCCGTCGGGCCATCCTGTAGGACTCGTGGAGTTTTTTCAGCTTGTGGTCGGTCCAGGAGTAGAAAAGCCCGGACCCGTCAAAGGGCATTTTCTCAATTTGCTGCTTAGTCTCCGGAAAGTTGGAACTCCTTAACCAGGCATGTCTGCGGAGAGACAGCACCAACCAAGGCTCTTGAGTCAGTGTCCACATGATGCCTGGCTGTGGACAACTGCTGGACGGCGACCTGCATCACCTCCTTTATCAGCACCTTCGCCAGATCACCCTGGTGGTCCGGGAGGGTCGAGACGACGTTGTGCAGGCATTGCATTATGAAGTATTGGTACCTTGCCAACGTCGCCTTGTAGTTGGAAATACGCAGCCCCAGGCCTGAGCTTGCGTAGACTCTCCTGGCCAGGGAGTCGATCTTACATCCCTCTTTGTCCCTCGGTGCAGTGTGGCCTCTTGCCTCTCTACCCTGGGAGGACTCCACCACGACCAAGTTCGGCTTGGGGTGGCGGAGGAGGAAAGGAATGTCCTCCTCCCGAACCTGGTACATGGATTCGTACCTCCGAGATGTGGGTTGAGGGTGAGAAGGCAAGTCCCAAGGTTGCGTCATCGCCTGTCGTAAGGTGGTAATCAACGGCAGGACGATTGAGGTGGACTGCTCCTCGCGGACAACGTCATAAAACTTGTCTGTAGAAGGTCCCGGACGATGGACAGTGTCGATGTTAAGGGACTGGACAAGCTGGGACATCAGCTCCACGAAGGAGATGTGGGACTCGTCAGGTGACGCAGGGCCCTGGGAGGTCACAGAGACACCAGGAGAGGTTGACACGACCTTCGAGTCGTCGAAGTCTGCACCATAAAACGGAGGGGCCAAAGACGAGGACCCCACCGGAGAGACGGACCGGTTACTTTCATCCCTAGGAGGTATCGGGGATGCGCGCCTCGGACCCGAGGACAGTGGATGGTCACGGGAAGGTGGTGAAGACTGACCCCTACGTACGGGATAGTACCCGAAAGAGTGTGGTTCGCCCCAGGACGGATAGTAGGAATGGTGCCATCCCTCAGATCGCTGTTCGATCAAGCGACTCCTTCGGCTCCTAGGCGGGGACATCTCCACATCTGCTGCCATTGTGGCTGTGGGCATAGGTGTGGGCGACCTAGCCCTGGGGGGAGAGTCTTGAATTTCCCCATCACAAATTGACCCCCGCTGAAGAGCTGGAAGCGGCTCAGCAGGAAGGTCAGCCACACGTCGAGGGGACCCTTGAGAGGTGACCCTCATAGCCGCCTGGAGCACCGGATTGGGTGGAGTCAGTACAGTGACTGCCGCCGGTATCGAGGGGGCCATCAAACCCAAATCATGGTGTCGAGGGCACTTCGTGTCCTTCGACTTCTGCGTCAGTTTCGGAGACTTCTCCTTCCTGGCTTTCTTTGCTGATTTATCGGAGTCAGCATGCTTACGCTTCTCGTGCTTTTTCTTCGGAGAAGCAGGTGGGGCCCCCAGGTAGACGCGTCTTCCTCCGAAGGGCGTGAGGGCGGAGCCACTGTAGCAGAGCCAGGCTTCGGAGCAACGACGAGTGGGTCAGACTGCATGAGAGCCTGATCCCACAGGAGCATCCGCAGGCAATTCTCACGGTTTTTCCTGGCCTGCTTAGAGAAGGCCAGGCAGTGAGAGCATTTGTCAGTCCTATGCCCCTCCCCCAAGCAGAGGAGGCATAGGTGATGCGGGTCGGTCAGAGTCATCTTCGACCCGCATGCCGCGCATTTGCGGAAAGCCGCTCGCTGCGCCATTGTAAGAAAAGAAGAAATAGAAGACAGTGCAGAGGGTAAGAATATATTTTTGGTTTTTTTTTTTTTTTATAGAAGATCAAAAGGGAAGGTAGAATGATAGAGAACTATAAAACTAAGAAGAACTATAAGAACTAACAAGAACTAACAGGGGTATAAAAACTGGGAGAATAATCAAGAACAAGAACAAGCTAGACAAGCAATGGTCAGAGTGATAGCGAAAGTGGCACGAGGCACAGCGAAAGGCGGTCTCAAAGACTGAACAAAATGGCGGATGCTCCGCTCTTTATAGGCCATGGAGGAAGGGGAGCGGAGCTTTCCCGCCAAAAACCATTAGCTTGTAATCTTCCGGTCAAAGGCACTGCGCAGGCGCAGCACCCATATGTGTGATGCACAGAGGCCACGACGAAGAAGCAGATTAATTCTTCCTTCTCCCTGCTGTAGTGACTTACCTCTTCCCATAAGCTTACTCAGAAAGTCAAGGCAACCTTCTGAACAATGTGGGATGGGGTTCATGGGGTGAGAGGAGAGGAAACTTTTCTACCACATCCATCCTTAAGTTAACTTATCTTTGCATCCAAGCCCAACTTTGGACAATTTCTCATTTCCCAGCAGTCCTATTGTGCAAGAGTAAACTTGCAAGTGGTTTCACATTAGGACTCACAGAATGGCATGCTCGAGCTTGCCACAATGTAAACCACAATGAACTGAAGAAGCAATTCTGAATATCCAGTCTCTCACTGGGGGTTGTTATGTTGTGCTAACTTGGCTTGTGCAGCTATGCAACCATTGCATAACTCTAGAGTAGGTCATAGGTTCTTTGAGGGTTGTTAAACAACTCTCACATAGTTCCTGCAGGTTGTGTTCACATGACCTGATCAGTCATGATTTGTTAATAAGCATCAGTAATACAAATGGTGCCCATGGGGCCACAGCTTCTCATGTGAACTCAGTCACTGATACACTTGGTTTACATTTAGATGCTCCAATATAACCCTGAGAAGGAATGTTCAGAAATGTAGAGCAGCTAATAATATTGTCATTTCTCATATACAATTTACTCAGAATGTTAGCAAGAGAAATTGATTGATTGATTGATTTATACCCTGCCTTTTTCCTACAAAGGGCTCAAGGCAGCTTACATCATTCTCCTCCTCCATCTTATCCCCACAACAACAACCCTGTGAGGTAGGTTGGGCTGAGAGTCTGTGCCTGGCCCAAAGTCACCCAGTTGACTCCATGGCCAAGTGGGGACTAGAACCCAGATCGTCTGAGTCCCAGTTCCACGCTCTTAACCACTACACCACACTGGCTCTCAATTAAGGAAATAATATTACATGTAGTGCCTACCCTGTGGAAAAAGTGTCCTTGTCCAATTCAGGAGGCCGAACATGTGTTTTCTTTCTAATACTCCCTGAAAACAAACCTGTTCATCCAGACTTTCCTTTGCCTGCAGTTAATTATTAAAACTGTATTTTAAATATGATTTTAATATTTATATGGAAAGGTAGGGGTTTTAAGAAATATTCAACACTATATAAATAGTATAAAAATAAATGCAATAAATAAATAAAATAAAAATAAATGCAATAGTATAAAATAAATGCAAATAAATGCAATAAATAAATATTGCCATCCATTGCTATACAGGTAATGGTACTGCTAGCACAAGTGGAAAGAATTACAAAAATGGTTGACTGACTTTATCTACAGTCACTTCAAAGCAATGACCAAGGCAGTCCCTGAAGAAACGTCTTATCTGAAGTTGAAGGAAAGTTTAGGCTTTAAAGTACTACAGGACAGTTTCACATCTTGAAAAACAACAAAGTTTAAAAGCATTAAAAGCAAATTAATAGGTAAACCTATTTAATCGGCAAGGATACAAGGCAATGTGGCATAGCATTGCTGTGGAAATAATGCAATGAGGAACATTAGAGAGAAGAGGAAATATTGGAGTCAAGGGAAAATGAAATATTGCCAAATTCAATTTTTAAATGTTTACATTCTAGTCAAAATTTGCATGATAATTAAGGGAGATCCTTTTATTGAATAGCTCAGCAAACTGCTCAGAAATCAAATGTTTCTGCTTTTCATTCAATCTTTGGACATTATAAATAGTTGCATGGATCTTTAAAAAATGGGTGTGGTGACTTCTCACACTTCCTTCTAGTATTCAGGCCTTGTAGGAAACAGGACTGAAGTAGCAGCCAAAAGCACACCAAGAAGTTGAGATGCCTTTTTAAATAAGTAAATTGAAATGAAATTAGAACAGACACCTCTGATTCAATCTTGAATTCCCCCTTCCCCCCCTTGAGGAAACAAACAAAACTTGAGGAAATGCAGGTGCAGAGACCATTTGTGAAATAATGACAGAGAAAGCAGAATTCTCTCATTTGAGATAAATTGGAATGATTGGACTGACATGCATTACTTCAAATTATGTATTAATATGTTAAAAAAAGAAGCAGCTCTCTTAGGCTAAAAAGAAAGTATTGGGTCCAGAAGGCCTAAATCATATTCCTTCAGTGAGAAAGAAATGCTTCCATCTTATGCTACTACATGAAATTGAATAGTGAAAAGAACATGAAATTGAATGAAATTGGATTTTAGTAGAGAGGGTAGCTGTCAGATAGGAATTGCATTGAACATAGCCCATTTTTCAGTTAAATAAAGCAAGTATCTTTTTTCTAAGCAACAGTGCCACTTAGTGGATGTACGAAGTACTTTACATGCTGGAAATGACAACACCACAAATGAAAACAGTGCTTGTCCAGGGGCCCCAATAACAATGTTACAGGTGGAAACATACCATGAGTTACGGTAGGAACTGTCCCTTGGAGGGTACTTATATTCTGGGCAGGAACGGACACTTGAGCATCACTGCATGTAACTACTTCTCCTAGTAAATAAAGTTAAAGAAGTCTTCACAGTAACAGAAATAAAAAGTCTTTTAACTTTTGCATCACCAAAAATGAGGAAAAGATGCTGTTAAAGGTGCAACATTTGCCATTTGGCCACCACTTTTCGAGACATATACCCCATAGCTGCCTGATTTTTCCATTTTACTTTCTCTAAGGGCAGGCTGAGACACCTCACCTCATCCTAGTCCCTTCCTTCCCTTGTACCCGTTATACTTCTATCCTCCTACAATATGTATTGTTAGCATGATTTCTGAACAATTTTGTGAAATCTTCAATAAAAAAATGCACTTTATGAACTTGGTGAAAGAAGGAAAACAAAGATCTCATTAACACTACCAATGATACTTTCTATTAAACTTTTCAGGATTACAATGACTTTTAGATTAAGTTAGTTCTCTCATATACGAATAGAACATGATTTTTAAAAAACTGTGTGCTTGGTAAGACAATGACAATAATTAATTTACTAGTAGGAAGTATTTCTAATATTTGATTTGCCAACACTAAACGTTAATAGAAGGAAAGCACACCTTCGTGGGTCAACTTTCAAAGTGCCATTACCAATTAACATTCAATTAACAAAATTGAACCAATGAAGTGTTATGCAGGCTGTGCTGGAAGAATGAACTTGAAAGGAGCTGAAGATGGAGGAGCTTATATTTTCCTTGTTTCCATTTTCTTTAGTGCATTGCATTTCACTTTATTCTTTTTCCTTAACTATTTTTATTTTTTTTCTCATATTTTTGTTCTGTTCATTTATATTCCCAGGCTCTTTCATTCACAGACTTCAGTTGTGATAGCAGTAAAAAATCCAATCCATGCATAAGGCATGCAAGAGTGGTGTGCTTGCTAGCTGATGTTTGGGATATAACCTATTGTAGCCCTGCTTTTAAAATTTGACAAGTTTATAAAAACCCCTCTGACTATTCTTTGACAAGCAAGTAAACAAATTCAGTCACAACTAGTTTGATTTATGTTCATTCTTGTCTCTGACAAATTCTTGTCAAAACTCCCTGTCAGTAGCTGCACAGGAAAAGTTTTGTTGATTTTTCTTTGTCTCTGTTCTTTCACCAAATTCTGATGCGCTCATCCTCTGAAGTACCTTGTGTAGGTGTATGGCTTTCCAGCCCTGACTGTCTTTCAACATGCTTTGCCTCTTTCTGTTGTGTACACTATTCTTTGGTCATCCTTTTTCTACCTCCTGATGGGAACTGGGAGATTCGAGGCATATCTGCAGATTTAATTCTCAGTTGCACTTTTCTTGCCACTGAATAAACTTCTTGTTTTGTTTGTTGTTCTTTCAGATTATTATGTGCTTGCAGCTAATGAAAGGCAGATTATTTTTAGAATGGGTTCAATCTCCTTCATTCATTTTTTTAAAAATAAGGTTTTACTAATTTTCAAAACACAAAGGTGGATAAACGATAATTAAGAAAACATCAAATTTAGTTTAGCTGTTCAAAGGGGGTAGCACGCTGAACATTTTTCTCTCTCTTTACTTTCTTAGAAAAAAATAGATGGAATCTAATGGCTGCTTGAAAATTTTCTTTATGGTTCTTCATTTTAGCAAATTATGCTAAATCTTATGTGTGACTGTCCAGAAATAAATCCTATTAAGCTCTGTGAGACTTACTCTCAGGTAAGTTTGTTTACAATCTTAGGCAGCAATCCCATAAGTCTCTAGACATAAACCATGCTACAGCCATGCTGGATGGGACATAATTTTTATGTCTAAATATATATAGGATTGCTCCCTTATTTTCCTTCCTATAAGCTGAAGGCAGTCTTTGATAGATATTGATGCTTCTGTCCCTTATTTGATTATATCCCACCTTTTTTTCTTGCCAAGAACTCAAGATGGCTTATGAAACTCTCCTTCTGCTCTCAGTCTTATTTCCACAACAATAACCATGTGAAGTAGGTTGAGCTGAGAGTCTATGACTAGCCCAAAGTCACCCAATTGGCTCTTAACCACTACACCACACTGGCTCTCTTATTTGTATATGCCATAAAATCATCCCATATTGTATAAAATTAGACATTTAACATTGCTGTTAACTAATTTTAGCTCATCTTTTTTTTGCTATGTATAGTTATCACAAATACCTTAATCATACAAGTTCTGACGTTTTCCAGCTTTGAACTATTCTTCTGTGAGCTCTTATCACCATGAACATTATTCATTCCTTCAATGCCTTTTTCTAATTTTTCTTCCCATAATTATTAATAAAGCCAATGCTGACATGTTTAAATGTAACTTAAGTAATATTTTCAATTTTCAACCATGTTCCAAATATTAAATACCAATTTCTGGTTCCCTACAGAATTAAACTGTGATTTACTCTTTTACTCCATGAATGTATTGTGGATTAAACTTCATATGTCTATCCAGACTCAATTGTTCAGTTGTATTCACTTTACTGGCAAGCAGCTACATTTTGGGTTCATATAAGAACAACTGAGATATCCCAGTTGTGCAGCTAAGATGGAATGGTGGTAAGGGGTAATCCCAAGTTTTAAAGTATTTCAAGGAATTTAAGTTGATTAAGACTTTGCAATGAATGCAATTATTGGATTTGCATGTAAAGCCAGAATGTTTCAAAAAGTCAAATATGAATACTTCCGGTGATATGAGGAAGCATTTGTTAGCAAGTTTCTGAAATGTTTTGTTGAAGATGTGTTACAACAATATTAACAATAAACAGCAACTTCTGAATTGTTTGCTATATTAAAACTGAGTTCAAATTTAACAATCCAATAGCAGAATGCACAAACCAACTTTCTTAAAGCTCACAGAGTGTTTTTCCCCAACAAGTGAGCTCAATATTATGTAGTTGATTATGATGATAACTCTTGTGAACCTCCGTTGAAACAATAACAGTGTAATCTAGACAGTGCAATCTAGACAGTGCCTTACATACTTGGTTAAGTACCCTGTCTTAAAGCCTGTACTACCTCTCCTTTCCTGAAATGGTGACTCTTCTATAGTCTCACTTCTCTGAAAAATACATTGGAATGGTAGGAAGCAGGAATTGGCTTTTTAGGGCCTGCAGGGTCATCACTAAAAGTTCTAACAGAGCACCTAAGTGGGGGCAGGTACACTCATGGTCATTTTGTTTATTTATTTATTTCACTTCTATACTGCCTCATCGCCCAAAGGCTCTCTGGGCAGTTTACATTCTTCTCCTCTGCTCTCAGCCTTATCCCCACAGCAACAACCCTGTGGGGTGGGGTGGGGTTGGGCCGGCCCAAAGTCATCCAGTTGGCTCCAGGGCCGAGTGGGGACTAGAACCCAGATTGCCTGAGTCCCAGTCCTGCGCTCTTAGCCATTACACTACACTGGCTCTCTAGTTTAGTTGAGCTTAAGATCTTCTCTGAAATGGGAAGTGACTATCTTAGGAGAAGTCTGGGCTACACAGTAATGTAATTGTGCTAATATATTTTCAGTATGCTAGCATAAAATGTAAAGAGAACAATATTATAAATCAGAAATGTAACTTAAAGAAACTCATAGTCACGTGAATTAAATGTTTATCACAGTTCTTCACATGTGGTCAGAAAACACAGTAGCTTGCATCTATACCTCTTATAGAACTAGTGACACAACCTCTAACGCCAACGTAATACAAACTGTAAATTAAGCAGTAACTTGTTAATTTAGTATTTTTTCCCATTACTAATACTGTGGATTACAAGCACTTTCTTCAAAACAGTGCAATTCTTTTTTCATTTCAAGTAATGCATCAGCAAAAGGACAAACAAAATAAATGAATATACTTAAATTATGTCTTTGCATTACTATGTAGAAATCTAAATTGCCAAGTATTAAGTGATGATGCACTATTGTAGGTAATAAAACATCTAGCAATGATTGGCTGAGCTTCTTTAATGTCATAGAAGCAGAATTGCTCTTATCGTAGAACAGGGATAGAGAAATTATTTCATCGTTAGTGCTAGATTCCCTTTTGGAGAAGCTTTCAGATGTCACATTACAGTGACGGGCAAGGAAAAAAGGCAAAAATGTTGAGGTCAAACCCCAACATGTATTATTATTAAGCTCTTACTGCCCATAAGACTTAGGAGATGTATTTCAACCCTACAGAATAGATTAAACACTTCAGAAAAGCTGGTCAATTAGGGGAAGGGGTATGGACAGAAGCAGGGTGTTTGGCCTTTTGGGGAATCCCAGAAGGCCAGGTTTGGATCTTGGTTAGGCCTAAATTTAATCACTGGTTGTGAAGTTCTGTGGCAGTGTTTCAGAGGATCAGAAAAGTCAAATGGAATGAGAGAAAGAGTATGGAACCAAAGGCCAAGGCAAAGGCAGAGGTCTGAAGAGGTAACAGCAAAAGAAGCAAGAAATGAAGCTAACCAAAGATAGCTGGAAGAAGTAATATTACAGGAGCAGGGAGAAAAGAAAACAAGAGGTGGAGTGATGATGACTGGTTTGCACAACATCCCATTTCACCATGTAGTGTTACCCGTGGTGAGTTCTTTGGTTGCAGAAACCTGGAACAATTTCAACAGGGTGGATTGCTTAAGGCAAAAAGCCAGCCTGACACCGCATAGCTAGTTTCTGCAGTTGTTTCACCCATGAAGTGTTGGTGTGTCATCTTCACCTGGGCTACCGTTTCCACCATGGGTGAAGTGAATGGGCTCCATGGCAAGAGTGGAATGCTCCCCTTGCCACTCCAGACAAGCTTGCCCTAGCAGATACCAGTGCCGGATGCCTCACAAGTGCCCAAGCAACATGTGAGTGCAAGCAGCACTGGCTGGGTGCCCTTCACCATGACCTGATTTCAGCTTGGCATGGCTTCTTGTCTGTTTACTCTTTTCTGCATTCTGACAGGAGCTACTCACTCCTCCAATGTTGCCCAGCCTAGGAATTCCATTCCTGAACTTATGCAACTGTGGTTTAAAAAATTAACAAAATAATAAAAATTGCTCATACTCTGTTTGTGATGATGAAGATGATGGCCAACCACTAGCAGCCTCTCCAAGTTGCTGCCTGAGCAGTTTTAAGTGTCTGTCAATGGCTGTCAAAATGGGAATTGTGAAAGCTACAGTAGCTGTTAAGCTGGACTTCGGGATCTCCAGGAGGAAAAAGGGGTAAGATACAAGATGCTGCAGCAAGCTCATACTGGCTTGCAATCATAGCAGATAGACAAGCTGGTTTTGCTATGCAGCCTTCCCTAACCTGGTGGTCTTCAGAGGCATTTGGACTACACCTCCTGGAATTGCCATCAAGCAGGGCCATTGACTGGGAATTCTGGGTGGTGTGGTCCAAATGTGTCTGGAAGGCACAAGGCTGGGGAAGGCTGTGGTAAGGGTCCCATGCCTGATGCATTGCAGATTATTCACACAGCAAGCAGCTCACGGTGGCTTATTGCCAGGGCAGGTTTTAGCAATGGGTGAATGAGTCCAATTCATTTAGAAATGAACATGGCTAGGAACTGAGCAGGTGAACCAGAATGAAATCCACAATCCCAAACACTGTAAACCTCCCAAAGCCTATGGGAATGGGACAGTATATTGATTAAAATAAATCCGATTTGTTTTAAACTTTTGTTTGCTGCAGAATTTATTTCAAAAATGAGCAATATCGTATATTTACCTTTGCTTAACTGAACCGGCACACTTTCAGATTTCATCATCCTTTGTTGCTGCTGTGGGAGCTCCACGGTGTTCCTAACAGTTGCTGTAGCATAAGGAGAAGTGCCGCAGCTACCTACTGCTGGTCCAGCAGCAGCACCACTTGAGGTTATAGCTGGGGAAATCAGCTTTCGGCCAAAGTTTAACAAGCTACTGGAAACTTTATTTATGTTCAGTGGAGCAACCTTGGCACTGACACTGTAAAACAAAAGTAAAACGCGTTGTCCTTATTAATTGTTTACATGACCCTTCAAAAATGGCTAAAAGCTTTTAGAATTTATTAGTTATATTTTTAAAAACTGCAAAACAGGATGATATTAAACACAAAAGACATAATGGGACCAAACCCTATTTTTCAGCACAAGATGTTTCTGCACATCACTGTTTTTCTGTCAGGAGAAATCATACTTTGTGTCAGGAGCAGAGAGTTCTGTTTTAGTTTTAGAAGTCATTGACCAGCACAAAAGCAAATAATCTCGGCAAAGTCCCTTAGTTCTGCAGCTGCCAAGGCAGAAGGTAGATTCCCCTCATCTGGAACACCTGAAAATAGTACTGATAGTTTTTCCACAGAAGCAAGTAGCAAGCAATTCTTTGAATAAGAAAAAAAATCACAGCTTTCAAGAATCTCTTTCTTGAGATAGGGGCAGAATCTTGCCCTCATCCATGAAACTGGTGACTTCACCACCAAGTGCAGGTTGCAATTTTGGCTTTCCACAGTGAGGATGCCCCTCCAATAACTGCCATGAAGATGGATTTACTGCTGCATTTATTTCAATGGGAGAAAGTCACAAGACATGCAAGAGAAGCTGGACTATTGAGGCAAGAAGTTTGCAGACCACTGTGGATCAACCATAGCCACTACTGTGAAGAAAAAGAGGTGCTTGCACATCTCTTCTTCTTTCTACTGCTTTTTAAACACTTAACCACAACTTAGAAAGCTATTAATGCAAAAAAGGAAACTTATCTATTTACCTTAAATTATTTTTGCATTGCTTTTAAGGGGAGAACTCTTTCAAGGTGGTGAAAATCAATGTGAATACAGCTATAAAAAATTCATAGACACGTTTTGATAAAATCCATCAAAAATCCAATTAAAATCTAATTGCCATTCAAATCTTACCAGTAAACGTCAATGGCCTAGACTTAACAGAGGCCAGGAAAAGTAGGTTGGTCTTCAGTGTCCTTCTGAAGACTTGCAGTGACGGAGCCTGAGGAATCCTTGATATAGGATTCCAGGAGTGCAGTGCAACCACAGAAAAGGCCATCTCCTTTGGGCTGGCCAGCCTAACTATGCTTGGCGAGTGAGAGGACCTTGTTAATGACCCCACAGTATGTGATAGAGAAAAATGCAGTCCTTTAAATAGCTTGGACCATAGATGATGCACCTATAGCGTTAACAGTAAAAAATAGCATGCTAAATTCAGCTCAGGGGCAGCCAGTGCAGTTAATGCAGTATTAGTGTCATATGAACTAATAACCTGGCCTATAACAATAGCTAGGTGGCCATATTCTGTTTCTAATGAAGCATCTGCATCATCTTCAAAGTGCATTGCAGTAGCCCAGCCCGGATGCCACCAGTCCATGGAACAGATTGGGCAGTTTTGCTATTGAGGAAGGTGGCGTGATGAAGAGATTCAGATCTTTTAATAAGCTGACTGTGTGCCAGCTATGAACAGTAGCAAAGTGCTCATAGTAGCCTTCCTCTCTCTCACAAAATAATACTGATGCTTTCTTTTCAATGTATGTACTTTTTACTAGCTCTGTCCCTGACATAAAGTGACCTTCCTAAGACATGTAAGACAACAAGGATGTGGGGGTAAATCTAGAGCCAATACTTTAACAAATGAAGTGCTGTCTTTTCTCTTTGCTGCTTTCAACATTTGATACATGGGTGCAAGAGATGATTGCAGCCATCAGACAAGGATCAATATCTATGTGTCCACCATCAAGTTGTACAAAAAATACACAACAATCACCAGAAAAATGAGGATTGATTATGTTGCACAGTCATTAAGAAATACATTTAAAAGAAATGTATTATTTTAAAAAAATGTCAAGGAGATGCAAATCCAGTTTCTGGAAAAACAATTTTGGTTCATCACAATAAGCATAATTGACCTTGGATATCAATGGTATATTTTTAAAACAAGCTGTTCGATGATTCAGTTTCTTCAGTTTTTACACTGATGAAAATGCTTTGTTTCAGAAAGCTGATTCAAAGACAGATCTTCCCTTTATGTGTGCAGCCACTGAAAAACTAAAATTGCTATAAATACAGCATATTTAAATGTTTTAAAAAATCTTCACAAATTTTTGCAAACCCAGACAGTAATTTAAATTTGAACCGCATGAATAAAATATGCGGTGCTTGGATGTTTTCTCTTTGTCTTCAATTTCTCCCCACAGAATCATTCGTTCCAGCAGGATTTTCTAGTAAGCAATTTCATCTAATTGTATGTGAGAAAGGCCATCTATATATATGCCTGAAAATGTTCTGGGCAACTCTAGCTCAGCAACTACCAGAAAGAACCCAAAACATATTCTCCTAAATGACAACAGACTCCTTTACATGCCTTCACCCTCACCATAGAATTGATAAGATTTGTTTCAAGTCAAGTACAGTGGTACCTTGGCTCACGAACTCTGGTCGTGACCCAAATTGGTCATGAGCCAAGTTAAATTTCCCCATGAGGTTCAATGTAAATAAGGTTAATCCGTTCTGTAACTTTTTTTTAATCAGAAAAATGTGAAGCAAAATGACAAAGAACAACAAAGATTGCAGCCATCTCCCCCTGTCCCCCAGCATGACCATGATCACACCCATCATCCCTGCATGCTGGGGAGGGGGAAAGGTGGGCACGCTGGAAGGGGGGAGATGGGCACGAATGCAGGCACCCTCGGGGGAGTGGAGATGGGCGCGATTGTGCTGGCGGGGGGGGGGGAGATGGCCGAGATCGCAGTTGCGCTCATGCAGGAAAGACGGGCGCAATCTCTGCCATCTCCCCTCTGCCCCCAGCACAATCACAGCCATATCCTCATTTGGGGAGGGGTGGGGAGATGGTTGTGATCATGGTCACCACCCAATGCAGAGTTCGCGACCTGAGTTAAAATTTTTATGAAATTTTTGTTTGCGACCTTATTTGGTCATGAACTGAGGCATTCGTGAGCTGAGGTACCACTGTAAATGAATTCAGACATACAGATTTCAATGAAGTCAACCTAGAGCTTGGTTACTGGAGGCACAAATTACCTTCACATGCCTCTTGCCAGCCTTGGCTAGTTTGCCAGCTGCAGCTGTTTCTTGACTGGGGTGGTCTGGCCACTGTTATTCATGTTCTGATAACCTTGCAGCTGAATTGCTGCAATGTATCATCTCTGGGGCTACCTTTGGAGGTATATTAGATATGAACATTGCTTCAATCAGTGTAAAACACAGCTGACAGAATGCTGACCAGTATGTCTAGCTTTATGCAAATTATACCGATCTTAAAAGAGATTTATAGAAACATAGAAACTGAGTGAGTCAGAAGAGGTCTCCTAGGCCGTCTAGTCTGACCCCTGGCTCCAGCTGGCTCCGCTCATGACATGCCTACCATGTGCATGTCTAGCCTATCCTTTATGACATACATTATTTAAAAAAATTAATCCTATTAGAATTTTCGGCAATGTATGGCCTATATCTGTAACTGTCTAGACATTCTAGAAACATCATTTTCTAGAACAGAAGATAACCTACAAGATCAGTATAAGGTATACGTATACATGTTTTAATATGTCACTCATAGACTTGTTAAAGGGACCAATAAAATATGACATAACATCAGGTTGCATTATCTCCTATTTTGGTCCTTCAGTTACAAACCTGTAATTATAAACCAAGCAATGGAAGCAGGAACTATTCTGTCAGCATATGAAAAGAGAAGCATGTTCACCAAACATTAGCATTCTGATATGAGTAGTTCCTGAAAATATTGGCGTCTTCCCCTTAGAACACAGAAAGAAGTCTGCATGAACAACAGCTGGCCATTTTTAAAAAAGGAACGTTGCTTGTGCATGCTTCTACACATGAATCCTTGTTCTGACAGATACAGCATTTCTACGTACCTTAAAATGACTGTCTTACAACATCTGGTCAATGAAACTGACCAGAGTACTGATGATTTTAGACTTTATCCTAAGACAAGTGTTGCCTAGTGTTAAGGGTGAGAGCAAGAGTTGCTGAACCAATCAAGTATAATTTATTAAGGACTGTAATTATCAATAATATTAATTTTGAACGTAAGACAGTGCAACATTACTTAAATAACTAGATGAATTAATGAAGGAAAACTCTATCTATCACTATGCCTTAATGGGTATATTCAGCCCCAAGTTCTGGGGAGCAACAATAGAAAAGAGCTATTGCCTTCATGTCTAGTTTGTCAACTTCCCATAATTCTCTGCTTATCTTTTGTTGAAAATACGACAGTGAACTAGATGGTCCATGGATCTAATTCTGGGCTGTTCTTGTATCCCCCTCAAATTACGTTTTCCAGAGCTGTAGGGTTGCACAAACATTGTTACATCATTACTTAGTTTTTTTAAAAAATAATTTCTTTATGGTTGCAATTCTGTGCAGGTCTATTTGGGCATAGTTCTCTGATATATATAGACCCTTATTTTCAAGCATGTTTGAACTAATCTGCATATTTTTTCATGAAGCAGAACTTTTGGTAAAATATGATAAATGCAAAAAAGTTTACCGAGTTTTATTCATCAAGTCAGCTCCACGTGCTTTGTAGTAATCCAGATTTTGCTGGAACTGGTAAGTTACAGGTCTTGGATTACTCTAAAGAAAGAGAATTATCAGCAAAAATTAGCACTTAGCAGTATTAGTAAAAATATTTGAAAACATGGATAACAAATTGCTATTAAGTAGAATTTCAGTTAGATTAAAATTATTTAAATATTTTTATATCAAGAAATCAGGACAAAAGTTTCAGTTCCAAATTTCACATTAGTTTTTCCTTAATCAAATTTAATAAATCAGTGTATTCAAGGGAAGTATGACTACATTTTGGTTGAATATTATTCTGCAACTGACAAAGTATAGCCACTAGATGGAGCATACAACCTTCTCACCAATTATAAAAAAGCCCTACAGGATGGAATGCTAGCTCTGAATATTCATGGTGAATATAGCTTGGATTCGGCTTTCAATTTCCTGGCAGAGGAAAGATATTGTGGTTCACAAATGTAACAACAAGCCGCTAAAAAAAGTCAACTTTCAGGGATTTATCATGTATGACATTTAGCCCTTCACTCACTCATGGGGAACAGAATTCTTGGGGCTACAATTCAAGTTGCCAAAGGCATGAGAAGCTACTTGAGGAAACCAGGCCTTTGACTCCATGGCTGACATGCAGCAGTAGGATTTCATTTATTAGATTTATATCCCACCTTTTTCTTTTTTTTAAAGAACTCAAAATGGCTTGTATCATTCTCCTCCTGCTGCTCTCACTCTTATCCCCACAGGAACAATCCTGTGAGGTAGGTTGGGCTGAGAGTTTGTGAGTGGCCCAAAGTCACCCAGTTGGCTCCATGGCTGAGTGGGGACTAGAATCCAGATTGCTTTAGACCCAGGCCTGCACTCTTTACCACTATGTTACACTGGCTCTGATATTGAAGAACCATGACCATCACCCAGTCACCTGCAGCTTCTCAGGCTCAGAGTATCAGGAAAAGTAACTGTCCTGAGGATTGTTCCATGGACCTTTGTATGTTTGTTTTCTTAGACTGGGTTCAGTTAGTCCCATAGCTAAGATGTGTTTAATACAATAATTTATATCTAATTTTGTTAGCAGTACGCAATATAATACCATTTATCTGTTTACCTAGTAGAGCCATGGAGTCAAAATCTTAAAGAAGAGAGATGCATAGTAACTCCATGGATGTTCTTTTTTGTTTGTTTGTATTCGGAGGAATTAACTGGGGAATTCTCCCTAACAGACAAGTGTAGAATAGCTATAGGTGATACTGAAAAATGAGCACACAAACATTTGATGTTTACATATTATGACACTCATTTGAAGACATATTTAATGCTTATAAGGAGCAGCAGCATTGTAAAGACATGCCCAGTTAGCATCTCTGATGAAAACTGCTACTTCTTTTTAACAAGTAGTTGGTTTGCAGTTCCAAGGCCAGTCAGTGAGGACCATGTTGTACTACATGGTCAATGGTTTTATTTTGTACAAGGCACGACCCATCATCAGAAAAACACATTGCTAAGTTGTTTATAGGAGATGTTGTTAAACTTCTAGGAGAGTTTCTCAATCTCCCATAAACAAACCACTGCAGTGTTGGCAAAATTATGTTACAAGTATTTTAGGATAGATAGGTGGGGCAGCCTCTACCAATGAAAAAAATTACCTCCATAGACCATAACTAAATAAGCTTATCTCAATTAAATGATTAATGTAGAACTAGTGAAGGCAAAACCATCTGAAATGACACTTTGACTGGTACCAAGAAGTAATGCTAAGGGCACAATCTAAATAGGATGCCCCTAAACTTCTCAACTTGAATGACTGTGGGTATTCAATGGAGGGTGGGTGAAGCACCAAGGGAAAGGTTGCCTCTTCTTACCCTGAAAAGTACTTAGAGAATGGATTTTGGCTAAGTACAGGGCAGAAGGTTATGAGGCTGAGCAGCTACAAGAACGCATTTTATCTTACGGGCACATCTTCTCCCACACTCTTTCCTTCAAAGCTTACCTCTGAGAACACCCTTTATGAGCTCCGTCACACAGCTGGCAGTCTTTTCCAGCTGTGGGAGGGAGACTGGAAAATGGAGCTCCAGCAATTTTTTTAACTCATAGCTGCAGATCTGTGAATCCTATGGTCATGCGACTGCTGTGTGATTTTACAGAAAATCAATTGTACTTAAAAATGGTAAGAATCTTAAATACATTTTAAGATGACCAAAATAATTAAAACACCATGGATGTTTTGAAACAAGTATTTGTTGTGAAATAATAACCCCCATATTATTTAAAAGTCATATATCTTAAAACCTTAGATATTTCTATATTAGGACATTTTTCCCATTTAGTTAGCTAGAATTCTATATGCATTGCTGTGGACAGTGTGAATTCTAGTCTAACTTGAGGCTTTGCTAGTCAGAAATCAATATAAAAAGAAACATTACAAATTGGAAAAATATAAAGACTCTGAACTGCAATGTAAACTACCAAGAAAAAAATTAGAACTATAGCACTGAGTTATCCTAATGTACACTAGCAATTTTAAAAACATGCATATGCAACAATTTAATAGCTTAAAAGGAAAGAAAATGTAGCATTTCCCACCTTCCTTTTTTACTGTCATCATATATTCATAATTTTTTCTCTTTTGCCATATGACTAGAGAGATAAAATAACATTCTCAATATATTTCTGCTCCAATTTATTAATAGTATCTAGAAGCAAGACTGCAAAATGAAACTTAGGTTTCTTGAATACTATTTATTTATAAGTGCCAGGCTACCCACAATCCATGTTAATGTATTAAGCTGTAATTTACATTCATCCAGTATTTTACATTCTGGTTCCAGCTATTCAAAAGGAATTCCAGTGAAACTGGCTTGCACATTCAACTCTGATATTATTAAGCATTCAAATGGCTAAGATCAGCCTTTCTTTTTTAATTATAAAAATAAAGTATAACCATTATTAGGAACAAGAAATAAATGCAAAAATTATGTAAGCAGACTATAAAGGCAAACAATTATATATTTTTGTCATTTAAAAATAAATAGTATTTTTCAATAAATCAGTCCAAAAATTGCTATTCTTTAATTCTTTTGAGTTTAGATACTGGGCTATTACTTTGGGATTTTTCATGGGATGAAATAGTTGAAGTAACTAATTGGAGTAATGTGGTATAATTGGCTGTTGGACTGAGACTCAGGAAGCTGGAGTTCTAGGCCCCACTTGGCTACAAAGTTCAGGGGGTAATCTTCGGCCTGACACAGATTCTTAATATAACCTACTACAAAGACTTGTTGGAGGATAAAATTAAAAGGAGGAAGATCATGTTCACTTGAGCTCCTTGGAGGAAAGGTGGATATAAATAAAAAAAATTAAAGGCCTTTTTCAAGATTCTCTTTTAAATTTCCCCGAAGTACTGTTTTTGGAGTTTGGCATATGCCCATAATGGCATTTTAAAATTTATTTCTAAATAAGTTGTATCACAGAACTATAGAAAATATGATGTAGGGTGGCCACCTCTGACATTTATTCTGATAGATGGTAGACTTATTTCAAATGAATCAGAATCAAACTTAAGAATTGTATCTTAAGAAATTTTTTTCATAATTTTATTTATTTAAGGGGTAATCCTATGCATGCTTAGATGGAAAAAAAATCCTAAAACTTCTGGGGCTGGGAATTAGCGTCCCCCTCCCCTTCTAATCATGCTTTGGGTTCCACCCTTAAAATTCTTACATGCTACCTTCTAGGGTAAAGCCCTTCCCAGGAAGCTTCCACAAGGAAACTAAAACCAGAGAACAAATTTAACATGCAACTAAAATGATCTAGTTTCAAAAACTAAAAACAACAGCAGTTGATATCACTTGAAAACCCGTTTCATGACATTTTGAACAGTTGAAACAAATCAGTTACAAAATTCTGTTTAAAAATGGTGGAGCCACATATGCACTCCTTTTGGGAGAGAATTTCAAAGATATGGAGCACTACTGAAAAGTCCTTGCCTTCTTTCTTGCTATTTTTTCAAACACTATCTATATGCTCACTACCTTGTAGGGTACCACACAAGCTAAAATTAAACAATCCACCTGATTTATTCAGCCAATTTGAATATTATTTTGCCTCTTCCTGTTTTGATAATCAAAATGAGTTTCCCTTATGGGAGGAGGTCCTATTTATTACAGGAGAAGCAACCCTGTTATTACTAATCCTACATTAATGATTATGAATGGAAAATTTCCTTTTTGAGTTCATTGAAGGATCCTATGGCCTACATGTTGAAAGAAAGCAACCTGTAATCTGCTACAATCTAGCCATTCATATTTGAAAATTAATGGCAGAATTAATGTGGGTCTGTGTGCAAGTGCAGTGTTACAAAATTAAACAGAATGAAGCTTGGTCTTCTGCTGCACACACAGAAACAAAACAGTGAATGAACAGTTGTTTTTGAAAGAGGTTCCAGCTTTTAAGCAGCCCCTAAATCAGCAAGCGTAAAGCATAAAGAAGTAGAAAGCAAAACTAAAACAACCTTTGAGACCCATGAAACCAACTCACAGCAATTCAGATAATGCCTGTAGTACTTCACTTGGAAAAAAAATTAACTGAAAACAGGCAACAATTTCAATCACTTTTATCCTCTCAAAGTGTCCAGTATTGTGGATTTTGTTACAACTCATTCAATATATGAAAACATGGCTTTCAATGGAAAAGGAAGCTGATGGCTATACAGAACAACTGCGTGTTGGTTTGCCAAGTAATACTCACACTGGACATGGGTCCAGAGGAACAGAACAGTGTGCTCTGGATATGCTTCTTACCATTAAAATGAATGGGGGAACTATCTGTGCACTGGTGCATTAACAGGCACTGACCCACTGAATGCTTGCATAAACAAAGTAATGTATGTTAATCTGGGATGATTAGTTCAGTAATATAAACCACCTTTGTTTGCTCTCATATTAAGAGTCAAAAGTAACACTCAATCCAGCTCCCTTAATCCTAATCTGTATAGGAATTAGGATTCTTTATCTTCAAATGAAAGCACTTTCATGAACAGATGCCAATTTTTGCTTCTGGTTACATCTCATTACACTGTGTTGGATGCCACTACAGAGATATTGCTGGGGTACAGAAGGCTTGTCTGTGAGCCCTTCTCTGAAAACATCCTGATGTTACATGGGAGGCTGGCACAGCTCTTTAGATCCTAGTCCTTATTCCTCTGAAAATCTATTCCAAAATCCTAATGGGTTTAGCATAATCTGAAGAGATAGAAATGTTTAGATCATCTTTATGATACTATCATATATTGTTTCAGAGTATCAAGCTTCATTTGCCTTATTTTAAAATTGCTTCAGCTACACAGCCATCACTGCTAGGAGATTTGTTAAAGTTTTGTTGGCAGAGATACTTGGGGCAAATACTGTAAGCACTCAAACAAAAGATTGTTGGCAAGTTCTTTGTACACATCTAAAATGGTAATGTCCTATATAGCAGTTTAGCTTCATAATAAGTCATAGTGATAAGGTTAGCACAACCACATACCAATAAGAACACCCAAAGATGAAAATTACTTTGCTTATGTTGCTGTATTAGAATTTTATTTGCTATAGGGTAAAACAGATTTGCAAAATTCACAGTTAACTTAAAACAATAGTTTAAAACCTTTTATTCCTAGGCTTGACTGCCTTCAGGAAGAAAAGAACATCTGGTTATTTAAGGAACACAATATGTTCACATTTTCTATGACTTTTGTTTCTAATTGAGTTTTTAATTTTTCTTTCTTTGAACAACTCTAGTTAGAACTGTTTTTTAATCGCTTTATATTTTTGCGATTGCCATCCCTATGTATCTATTTTCCATTTGAAAGCGTCTGCTTTGAAAATTAACAGCACTTCTCATTGGTGGCGAGGCATGCAAAAAAAATTAAGCAACTGCAGGATAGTAAAAATATGGCAAACACCTAATCTAGGTGTTTTTTTTTTGGAAAAAATTCTTAGAAAATATGTGTCTGCATTCAACAAATTGTACTTCTTGTATCAAGCTAATTTTCAGAAGTATATTTTCATTCTGAGGAAATGAGGACGAGTGAAAAGCAGGACATATATTTGGAATATATTTCAATTAAGCAAATGGAATGTGCAGATTACCCTGCATAATCATTTGAGATATTGGTTGTCATATTCAGAGTAGCCCCACAGAAACCAGCAGGAATTAAATAAGTCACAACTAAGTACCATTGATTTCAATGGGTCTCTCCAGGCATTACTAAATTTTATTCCAGTTCACAGAAGTATGAATTATTTTATGAGTCTTTAAAAGGGTTCTTTCTGTATTTCTTTTACTAATGCCATTTCTGAAATGTTGCCATTGAGAATAATAGACATAATACAATTCATTTTAAAAAGCAAAAAGAAAGCCAAGCTATGAAAAGAGCTTTATTAAAAAAATCAATTAAGTCACACTATATTAAGAACAATTAAATTAGACATTTTATATCTGTTCTACTTTAATTCTTCAAACACTTATCAAAATATACTTTGATTAAAGTGGACAGTGCTGGAGTCTTTATTCAGAATCAGATACTTTAATTTTTGCAAAATCTGAGACAATTTTCTATTTTAGGGCTCAATTTTTATTTCACTTATACCCTGCTTTTCCTTTGACAAGTTTAGAACAGCTGACCTATGGCTCTCGGCCATTCTCACACTAAGTCAACTTCACAGTAAATTCAGTTATAGCAGGGTTCACTCTTTACACCATCTATATGAGGGCAAAAGGAGTACTTTAGAAGTTGTACTGAAGTTAGCAAACTTGCAAATTATTCCAGTAAAAAGAAGATGCTAAGAAAATGTGCATGAGTTTATTATGGTTGTACAGGTTTTGGACAAGAGAAAGGAAGATGTGATCACTGAAGACAAAGCAGGTACTAGAAGTAGAAGACAAGGGCAGGCAATGGTACTGTTCCAACAGGAATTCAGAAATTTTTTCCTGAATGAAATATGCTTCCTTCTGTGCCTGCAAGCTGCTACAAGGAATAGGTGTAGATAGGGATGTTCCATTTTTGCATCCATAGGGATAATTAAGAAAAGATATGTGGGAATATACTAGAAGTGTAGTCCTAAGGACTCTTCATCTGACTCTTCATGAAATTCAGTGGAGTTTATGTCAGATGAAACATGCATAAGACTGTGCCATATATCAATTTACACTGGAAAATTTAGCTTTGGTTCCATTATAACAACTATAATACAGCGAAAATTCATTAGCATTTCCCAAAGACTTAGCAGTTTTCTAGAAAACTGTTTCTTGTTCATAAATATAAAGCATATGTATTTTTCATAAAGAAAATGAAAATAACTGCAGTCACAAATCTATGCCATTTTAATTGCTTTTGTTGAAATTACAAGCACCAACCTATGAGATGCTTGTAGTAAGTACTTATCTAACAGTATGAGCAATCTGTTTTGGAAGCTAATCATTTTGTTTAAATAACACAGAAAAATAATAATTACACGTTTTACAAAAAGTAAATTTTTGAGCTCCCTTTTTTTGGTTAAGGGGGAACTCAGAAGGGAAAAAATATAATAGAACTAATTTCCTCAGAAGCATGTATGTAAAACTAACAAAGAAGTTTTTGCTCTAAGTAATGACATTCCTTTTAAAAAATAGATTCTTTAGTGCCTGTGCACATAGAATTTTTAGATTTCTTAAGATACATTTTCAGATGCTTTGAGTATTATGGAGATGTGATTTTTTCTTAGCATCATCATCATCATCTTCATCATCACACAAGAATAATGGGAAAATGTGTATGCAAGTACATAGATAAAAATAAAAAATAGGAACACTTTGAGAAAAGAAGTAACCATTGTGTGGTTTTATGGAAATCCTTGCAGAAACCCATCAGCAATGATTAATAGTTAAAAAGAGCTACACTTTCTAAAGATGACTCTTAAGCTTTAGAAATAAAGGTTCAGGCTATGAACTAGTTGTTGATTTACTATTAGCTGACTTGAATCAAGAACTGTACACAAAATTCTTGATGTTATCTATTCAAATTGTATTTCATCTCACACTTTGGAAAATATAAGTTGCTGCCTTCTAACATTCATTTTGTGACAAGCCTCAATAAATCTTTATGGTACTACATTTTTTTCCTTCAGTACAAACTAATCATGTTACTTGTCAATGACTCAGATACTGGAATGATAATGAAGCCCACCCAATGCTCTGTGCATAATTGTAAAAATACACTGAGCTGTGTCCAACAGTGGCTTTGCATTAATGGAAGGAGTTTCCACCTATGCAAAATAGGGGAATCAGATTTTATCTGCCTGACTCCATATCCACAACAGCCCTCTGCTCCAGAACCCATATTGTTTGGGAGACTCTTCTATCCCTCAGTAACTGCTTTTTGCAGGATGGTGAAACCTGATGTATAGAGCAAGGATATGAGAAAATCAAGTGGCGCACTCTGTGCAAATGGAAGAGTTTTCCATTAATGTGAAGCCACCAATGAATACAAACCAGTGTCCTGATTCATTCTGCTTTATTATTCAAACTTTCTGTTTAGCTTTGATTACTGGATGCTAATCAACGGACAAAAACTGAGATAGATTTCTTTGCACATTCACCCAACCAACAAGGTCAGAGGTGGATGTGAAGTTGGTTTGTTCTCTGTTAGTAGGAGTGAGCAAACAGGACAAGTTCAAAGGAACAGTTTTGTATTTTGGAGCTGGAAAGCATAGTTGCTGAAGAGATTGTTGGAGAAAAGCAGTTTTGGGGTTTCAGGTGATCCCTTAAGTAACATTTATATTCTACTTTTCAGTTGAAGACTCCTGAGACAGCTAATAACTAGAGATGTACAAGTGCCCTCCAGCTCACATTGGTTTGGCTTTGAAATAAGGCATCACATAGCAGTGAAGCATTTCAGGTAAATCGGGTGCACATGAGAAAAGCAGAGAGTTGGCTTACTTCCAAGCTAATGCAATGAGAACCAGAAGTGGCTCATACATCCCCAGTCATTGTCTGTGTCAGAAGTATTCAACTAAGCTTGCTGCCATGGAAAACAACTGGTACTAAATGCCTGGGGTTTTTTCCAAGTTTAATTTTTTAATTGGTCAAAGGCTCACACTGGGGCATTAGTCTTTGAATGGGAAAAATAATGTATTACCCTAGCTTGTTTCCTAGATGTTTAAAATATTAACACTAGCAATACATTAGATTGTTATATCAGATGTACATCATCCAATAAGGGCCCCGTGTGAACCCTCAGGTACTTGCTGGTCTCACCAGTCCACTTCTTTAGCACCTTGGTTCTACCTTTGCTAGGAACTAGCAACCATTTAGCAGTGGCTGTGTCACCAGAGATAATGCCATGTGAAGAAGTAGCGAGAGGTATCCAATTCTGTATGACACTAGAGCATCTGGAAAGCCTTTGAGTGACTCAGGCCACTACTTTGCCACCCAAACCTTAGATGAGAAGTATTAAATGAAAAACTACAAGGTTGAAATCCTGGTATGTCTCATCTCAGAATGCAAACATTGGTATATTTGACTTACATGATAATGCCCCACTTCATTAATCTCTCCTCTACTCATTTAGTAAGGAAAGATTTGACTGACAATATTTTAAGAACATTTGCGATCTTCCTCTATTTCAGATTTCCAAGTTTTGTTCTGGACAGAATTAAGTATGACTTACCTTTGGATCTCTGAGAAAAAGAGCTCTTAATATCAATGAATGGACATCTTCAATAGGTGGATAATGCATAAGAAGTCCCAAGCAAGTTTGATAATTACTTGATATCACTAAAAATCACAGGAAATACAATTTAGACTTTCAGACATGAACAGTTTACATGAGAGTGAGTGATAGTTCTAACCCCAATGTTCTGGAAACAAGCTTCACACAGTTGGATCTAGATTTAGTCTATATAATACCACCATTGGAATAAATAGGACTGAAATTAGTCTTTAAGACCCATTGATTTCAATGACTAGGATCAAAGTATAAACACCACTGGATTGTTACTATCATCACCCCATGTTTTAGAACTGCTTTTACTCTTTAGATAACCTTAATCTTCAAACTGTTCCTTTCTTTGGAATACTAATATTTAAAAAGAACATACACAACCTCTTAACATTCATTATCTATTTTATTAAATTTTATTTATTTTCTATTCTCTAACTTCAATCTAGTTACCATACAATTGTCCTTTAGAGAAACAGCTGGGGTGTGGGGGAGCAAACTTAATTATGAGTAAAATTAAATGCATATTTTCAGGTAGAGAAGTATAAACTACTTCATTTTTTCAACACTATCTAAATCCTGGCACTCTATCCACGGTAGCTGCTAAAGCAGTACCTATTCATTATTCACACAGTGTTTACCATACACACTGTGACTACATTGGTGCTAATTGTAAATATCTTTTAGAATAACTTCACAGTTTTGAGAATTCTAGTTTTACAAAAATAATATCCTTTGTATTAATTAAAAACCTCACTGCAACGTGTCTTGGAGGACAGAAAAAAACAAAACCAAATACATTGTGATTAAATGAAATCACAAATATGTTGATTGTTTTATAGCCGCATAGGCTTACTGTACTGGTTCCCCCCTCCCCCTTTTGTGTGAGTCAAGCACATCTCCTTCAGAACCTTTCTATCTTTCCCTAAAGAGGTTTATAAGGAAAAGATGCAGGACTGGGCAAAATGAATAATTATAATCTGTGTAGGGAGCCACTTTATCATCTTCATTTCCGTTGCTGATCCGACAGCTTGTAATTTTATACATCTGCTTTCATTTGTAAAGCACTCACTTATCCTACTCATTCTTTATCTGTTCTGCCTGTTTCTTTTCCTTTCCTTTTGTTTTTCTTGTTCATGTTCAGATACCTGCTTTTTCCCTTTCTCCTTGAAGTTAGCATAATGAATGCAGCACAATGGGCTCAGTCAAGAGTTCTTTCTGATGACTGTAATAAATGGACTACACTTTATGTAAAACCAGTCAAATCTAATGTAAGACACTATAAGGCAGTAACAATAAGAATCCTCTATACAGTCTTAAAATAAATAATGCTGAAAGTAGTTACTATGTCATAAATAATTTTTGTGAAATAACATTTCATCTATTTTTTAAAATACACCTTTTACCACTCTAACTGAAACCAGATATTAGAGTTATTTTGTTTCCCTCTAGGAAACAAGAAATTATAGGAGTTATATCACTTCTAAAAATAATTTTGGTGAATGGATTTAATTCAATAGTGAAGATTAAATCATTGACAATAAATATTTATAGTTGTTAATCTAATAAAAAGTCATAGAAGCAATGAAACTCTACTCTCACATGCCGAAATAGCTAATATTTGCAATTGCTAAACTATTTCTAGTGCAGTTGTATTATTGTATACTGAATTTGCTAAACAACTTGGTATTGGCAAATGTGGCTACTGCCAAAGAACTGGAATGAACAATTTTTTGTATGCCACAGAAACCACATAGCACCCCTATTAATGCTTACTTGTTCAGTGTTCTTTTTTTTTATTTAGGCCAACAATTTTAGTACTGAAATCGATTCTAAAATATATTTTATATGAATGATAATGTGACTATCCCCATGGTGATAAAAATTAGAACACTCATATCAGCATACTACAAAAGGTTGTTATTGCACAGGGCAATCCTATTCACATCTATTCTGAAGTAACATCTACTGAAGTTTATTTCTAAATGTGTGTACAGGATTTTGATCATAGTTGGTAATTAAAAGTTATAAAGTATGTTTAATCTGAAGCAATTCCTGCTGAATCCTGTAGGATTTGATCCCAAGGAAGTGTTTAAAGGCAGCAGCCTAAAGATGCAAAACATATTAATTCTTACATCACATGATAAAAAGGTAGAAATAAGAACAAACATTTCAAAAGATGAGACGCTTTAGGTGAAAGAGACATAAACATACTGGAATGAAAGATTATTATTTCTAGTATCTTAAGTCTCTACAGATACAAAGGTGAAGGTTTCTGTCGAATTCATAAAAATGTAGTCTGAAACTTCATAGCAAATGAGCTTCAATTAATATTATTCATAAAATATTGAGAAAATATTAAATTTCCATTTAAATTTTAAAGGGCTACGCATAAAGATGATTTTAAAAGCTTATATTATGTACAAAGGGTGCAAAAATGTGTAATTATTTTTCTGAAAGGAAAGCTCTTATTGTGATCAACACTGTTTCTTAGCTTTTCTAATAATGATACATCATTTGAAAACAATCTTGAAACACTTAGCACTACTAGTAAGATTGGGTCAATCTTCAACAGAACACATTGCCTGACACTGTTTACTGTCTTTCTGATTTTATGTGCAGACACAGAACCCAATTCTGTGATGCATGTAAGAACAACCTTCATATGAGTTTTCATTTCATGAGTAGTGTTAATGCCACAGCTGCAACTGAAACTCCTTTTTTGTGACAGGCTGCAACCTTCTAAATCATAAAAGGTAAGGTTTGTTAGTTGCATGAGCTAGTTGTTTTTGAATTAGAGTAATTATTTTATCCCTCTTCAGGATGATTTCAGGTATATTGTTGGAGCTAACTTTGACCAATGAGATACAATGGACAGCATCCACTGTGCCATTCTGTTAGCACAAATGATGCTCAGGGTCTGAACTATGCACACAACAAGAATCTTACTAAACTTTGCATAAGCATAGTTGTGCACATAGTGGTGCAATCCTTTGTTCATATACCCCATTGAACAATCCCATTGTGCAACTGGTTGCACAAGCATAATAGGCAACTGTTCAGTGGAGCTTCACTAGCAGTATCTGAGTTATTAGATACTGCTTCCTTTTATAAAGAGATGGACCTACCACAAAAGGAAGGGCTTTGCTCATGAAAAATGTCTGTGCCTGCCTTTTCCTCACAGCACAAATCAATCCATTCTAACACTGATACAAACAGTATCAGTTCAAAAAGTTTATATTGTGCATTCCTATACATGTCCAGTCAGAAATCAGTCCTGCTGAGTTCAGTAATGCTTACACCTAGCTGTTTGTTTAGGGTTACAACCTAGGTTGATTTAAAGTGGGAGCTGAACTCTCTTCCCCATAATATGAGGAGGGAGTTGAACTCTCTGCCCCACAATTCTTCTTTTAAACTTGAATTACTACGGATAAGATCCAGTGAATAGAATTAACCTACCCCAGAAAGTTATAAAAAGGAATTTCATGCACCTTTCACATCCCTTGAACCACTACTCCTTTTTAATATGGAACCACTGTGTACTTTAGAGCCATTCTGACAGTAACTCATCCTATGGCACAATACAAGGAAGTAGGATTATTTATGTAAAAACAATGAAACTCAAAGGAAAGGAGGCTGAGATGAAAAGAAAATTTCCTTTTGTTACCCAGGTTTCTTTGTCTCATGAAAGAACAACCATAGAAATAGGAATGCAATGAGGAGTCAATTTCTGAACTACTAGTATGGAAAAATTACTGTACCTATATGCATAATATTCTGTGCTGAAGGTGAAGGTAAACAAATATTAAAATAAATAAAAATATAGGCCAGCTGCCAATGGGCTTAAGCAAGAGAGCATGAAATTGACTCAAGTAATTTCCAAAGCACTTGTAGTAATTTAAATCTATGGTGGCAATTGGTCCATTTTCCTTTTAAGGATTTTCTGGGTTCATGTGGAACTATGTATACAACCTTACCACACACACACAAAAGTCATCTTGACAGATGCTTGCACGAAAACACATCTTATTTTTCCATAAAACATCTATAAATAAATTAGTCAGAACACCACAGTTCCAGTAGTATTTGAATAAATAGAATGCCATTGCTCACTTAGGACAGCAAACTGTAGTTTCTTTTTGCCAGATTTGGCAATTGCAAAATATCTTTTGATCTTACTGTGTAAGAGTAGCAACTGCAAATACAGATCTATTTTTCTAAGAGAACAGAACAGGAGCTACAGTCGGTACTGTAAAGAATAAGCAAGCATAGAAGGAATGGTTCTTTCATCAATACCTGAAAAGAAAGCAAAAAGAGAAGACTGCCAGATGTTAAGCCTTCCTCAGCATGAAAAAATACTGATAATATAAAACCTTCAGAGATGGTTTTTGTTGAGTGGTTTATGGCTTCAAGAAATTCCCCTCCCTAGAGAATATAGTAGCTTGTAGTCTGTCTTTATGAAAACTGCTTTTTCTATCTTTTTTCTTTTTTTTAAGTGATAGTGATTTCCCTCACAGGCATAAGACTAAGACAGGCACACCTTTATATAATACTTTGTTCTATTTACATCTCATCTTCAAGGCAGAAGGAGAGAACCTTCATGAATTCAAATTGGCAGATACTCTGTATGTTGTAACATCAGAATAAAGAGAAGCTGATAAATGAAGAAAGTAGAGTCATTTCTCATTTACAGCAGTTATCTGAAAGATATAGCCAACACCCAGATGTATAGTTTTTCAATTCTTGTGATTAAATACAACCTTTTCTACTTATTTGAACAACAAAGATCTTTCTGAAGAAAAAGACAACTATATAATGTCTGAACAATTATATTGACAAAAGTTTCAAAACATCATGGAGAAAGTAGTTGTGGTCATGAGAATATAGTTAAGAATAAAAATGCTTAATTCCAGATAGACTAATCTTGCATGATTGTATAGATTCATGGTGTCTAAACATCATTTCCAATTCCCACTCCACACATAATTTGACCATTTCAAATATCCAGTTGAAGAGAAGAGTTAAGGCACTCACAAACTCAAAGGAGCCTAAAACATGGCAATTGTAATACACTATAGCTTCACTCTTGTACCACGTAAGGGAGAGAATGGGTGGTCTTCCAGAAATTGCTGGGCTGCATATCTTACTAGCCCCAGCCAGTGTAGCCAGTGATAAAGTCAAAAACACCTGGAGGGCCACACATTCCTGGTGTCTGTTCTATAGTCTCATAAATGATGCCTGTTTATGAAGCAGCTTCTACTACTCAGTCTTTCCCTGTTTTTTTCAGCCCCAGACCCAGGTTATGAGAATGTAACAGGTCAGGGTATTATGGATAGAGAGAATGGGAGAGACACATGACAGGGAGAGGGGGCGGGGGACACTCTGGGTGTGAACAGAAGAGAGTCTTCATCTGCCCTGCTAGTAACTGGGAATACTGAATCTATCCCCAAGGTTTCTGTATGCTGCTTCTCCAGAGATAAATTGTGGAGGGCAATTACGTTTGAGCAGGGTAGAGAACTTTGTGCATGTTGAAACAGACCAGATACAAAGGCTTCCGGTTTTCCTGAGCTTTGGCTTATCACAAAGCCTTCACTTTTAACAGGGAATCCAACACAAGAACATTCAATAGACCCGATGGTAGGTTAAGTGTACTGATATGGTACAATCCTGATCAACCACTGTGTATATTTACAATTATTATTGTTTATGGGTTTATTTCATACATGTCAGACCTTTATCATGTATCTTCTGTCCTAAGAGCTTTCCAATGATTTGAAATATCATGACAAAGAGAACAGAAATGGCCACTGTGATCCAAGGAAGGCTTATCTTCTTAAAGAGTTTTTTTATTTTCCCTATTTTTCTATTCTGAAAAAGAAATAGAAGTTTGAACATCTGTAGTTGCTGACCAACACAGGGAGGTGCTATCATGGAAATACATTTTCTGCTCACTGCCCTTCTTTTAAAGGGATGAATTTGGACAGAACTATGATTTTAACTACCCAGTTTTACTTTTTCCATTATTATGAGTATATGGCTACTTATATGTCAAGTATCCTTTACTTCCTGTTATAATACTAGACAATAGAGGTCTTTCAATAAGAGTTTTATTGGTTCCAGTGAGCAGGACATGCTCTGTTCCTTATGATTCCATAATATTACAAGACAATGACAGGGAATCTGCAAATTATGTCATTGCACATTCTATCACACTGTCACATGGAGTGAATAGTGAGTTATTTTGAGAATGCTCAGCTCCATTTTTCTTCTCATTGAAGAACAATTCATTTTCTCTATGGATTCAAAAAGGTAGGTATATTTTATTTGGAAGTATTAAAAGCTACACAACATATTTTAATTGTTATTGTTTTAATTTATTGTGTATTTTATTCTATGCTGTGAGCTGCCCCGAGGCTTTGGCAAGGGGCGGCATAGAAATGTTTTAATAAATAAATAAATAAATAAATAAATAAATAAATAAAATGGCAGCTTCAAAGAAAGGGTGGGTGAAGTTTCCTCTGTCATGAGCTTCCTCTCTATAAATGGTACCTTTTGTCTACTTACATAGATGATTTTATGAGCAGACAAAGGTTGTTCTAACATTTCTATTTGTTCAAAACTTCATTGTAACATGGTAATTTGATGCTATGGGTATGCTCCTGCTTCACCAGAAAATCTGGCAAAAGGTAAAATGAATTCCATTTTTATTGATTATAACTAGGATTTAAACAGCTACTTAAACTCAAGAAAGGAACTTGTGCAAGGTCAGTGTTCCACTTTTAGAAAAAACAAGTGTAAAAAGCCTCCATGGACTCACAGAATTAGTTTTATGATTATTTGGATCACAGCCTGTATTTATAGCCTGCCAACCAGATGGCCCCCTGACAGTTTGCTGCAGATTTCACTGTATGTTGTACTTCTATAGTTTAAAAACTCATTCCTTCTGATAGCAAACTCAGGACGTGCCAAGAGAAATACTCTAAAATAAGACCAGTGAGAAACAAGATGGAAGTATCAGAATGGTCACAGGGATCTCAGGGTTTCTAGAAGTACAGTGAATCCTTTTAAAAGAATAACAGTGTGAGCAATCTCAACCCACCTCATGTGCAGTGAACCTGCAAGGGAGCTGTATAACATTAAATGACAGAGAATAAAACTGGAAAACTGGAGGAGTGGAATAGAATGAAGTATCATGGAAGAAGCCATGGTCCCACTTTTACTGGACATACTGATGAATACCAATAGTACTATATTTACATGCTATGTGTATATTTATGTATTATGCTGAGTTCTCTGAATTGGCTTGAACTTAGTTTTGAAAGATAAGATTATAAGAAGGAAAGTAATCAGGGCTTGACTTGGTCCACTGAATCAGCCTGAGCAAGTACACTTGGATCCCCAAAGGTATGATAGAGGTTACCAAAATCCTTGTACATTGCAGCTACCTCAGCTAGAAGTATACTTGCAGTGGGTTGCTGCTGCTTGCCCAGTACAAGGAAGTTTGTTTGGGGAAGACAGCTTGTAATCTCCCCTCTATGATAGTGTGGAAGGCTATTTTCCACTGCTGCTGTGCAGAAATCCCAGGGTTGAGTTGTGAAAGGTGCCAGTGGGGAAGGAACATTTTAATAAGTTTCTACACTCCGGATTAGCATCAATTCAATATGTCCAGAAATAACAATAACAAAAATGAACAAAAAAAATCCCATGTTTAAATGATTTTTAATACACATGCATTTTTGGGGTCAGACTCAAGATCTTTCAGCATTAGAAAGGAAGCATCTGAGACAACTGAGACTTTCAAAAGAAGATAATTATTTTCAAGATTTATTTTCCTCAAATGTTAAAATGTTATGGATTGATAAAATTTGTCCTGCATAGGTACACTAACTGTAAATAAAACATACTAAAAGGCCTATTATTGACAGCTATAATGTTACCAACATAATGTACTATGTAGCTACATAAAAACCAAAATTTGCTTAAAACATTATCTATGAAGATACATTTTAATGTTTAGTTTATATGTCTCTAATAAATATATAAAGTATTTAACAGTTCATGTGACCTATTAAAGGATTATTAATTAAAATAAGTTTAAAAAAAGAATTGCTGCTTGTAATATTTTCACCTTCTTGTTTCAGAAGTCCATTAAGTATTTCAGTAGTGAATGTACTACTTAATTCAATACACCACTTCTGACAGAAGATGGAGCTCTCTACTTATTTTGGCTACTTGGTTTTATATAAGACAATTTACAATTCTGTGTATCAAAAGAAGCATAGTAAGAGTAAGAGCATAAAAAAGATTTTAAGTATTGTTATGGCTTTCTTATATATCATAAATAAATTGCTATCAACTGTGTACAATCAAAATAAATACTTTAATTGTATTTTAATTAGAAATGTTATGCTCATTTCAAAATATGTTAAATTTTATGTATGTCTTAAATGTAATAGATAATAGATACTCACATGCATCTCTGATATATAGTAACATGGCTAAGAAAATGTAGTCAACTAAATCAAGGGTGATGCTGTCAGCAAATAAAGCATCCCAAATCACAAGAAGATCCTGGAGGGAAAACTCTCTTCCAAACAGAAGCCTTACCCATCGCCTAAAAAGAAATTCAAAAGAACAGATAAAAATTCGCACAATATGGATCAGGAATTAATGGCTTACAGGAAAATATAAAACAAATTAAATTATTATGGCACAGTACTATGCATACTGAAAGAGTAGCATTTCTCAATCAGTAAGGCTGACTGGGAAATGCTGAGAGTTGCAGGACTTTTTCTGTCTAAACATGCATAGAACTGTATCCTTACTTAGTTGAACTTGTATATCAAAATATAGTGGGATGGCTCCAGATTAAGTTACAGTAGAGCCATTGATTTTAATAAGACTTAAGTTACTTATAACTCTCATTTACCTTAGTTATTCTATTCCAATGATAACTGCCGAGCTCCCATCATTTATGTTTGTATGTGTGCCTACATTCATATTTAAGGAAATGCTCTATTATCTCTTAACCCAGTTACAGAAGGCAATGGGTTAAGGTCTTTAAAACTGCCAATCCTCTAATGCTGTTAAGTAGATAGGCTTTATTAGAAAAGCTTTTTACTGGTTGATACTTGCTTATAGATGAATAGAAGAATCAGGTTCAAGTACCCTTCAAAAACTTCCACACATAAGCTCAGCCTTAACAAATTTTGGTTGACTTAATAAGACATTAAAGGAGATTGCATTCTATCTGTTTTAAAAGATGCCTGACATCTGAACTGAGGACTTCATTTTAAGGTTGCATTAACCTAAATCAGTGGACTCAGACAGTAAATTTACTTTAGAATTTATGTTACAACTTCAGTCTGGTTAAATTACACGAGATGCAATACGGAGAGAGCCCACAACAAGGACTTATTTTAATGCTGGCATTTGAAGCATACTTTAAAATATTTTACGTACACCCCCTTCAGTTTTCTCTATGAGTGTCTACTTATAAAACTTGAAGAGCTTTTACAATAGATGATGTGGGAGAAACACAGAGCAAAGCTAATTTTGCACAATTAATTCTAACAACATTCTGCACAATGTGTTTTACCCAATAGAGGAAAATCACCCCTCCATGACTAGCCTACAGGAAACTATTACCTTTCAGTGTCACAAACATTACTTAGACTCTGCAGGAAGCCTATCACTTTAAGCAGCAGTCGCTCCTTCCCTTAAACCCACCCACCTTTCACATTTCACAAACTGTTAGGACTCAGAATTCAGCAGTGCTTGAAGCACTGGAGCTGACTTTATTCACAACTACCTAATGCAACTCAGGAAGACAGATAAAAAGTAAAACACTTTAAAAAGAAAAGAAAAAGAAATAACTACACACGCACACACCCTGTGGTATAATAGGATTTGTTATTAGTCTTTTATCAGAAATCTCTTCTTCTTCTCTACCACTTCATTATGCAGCATTAATTGTTTGTAGACATAAGTTTATTCTGCTCAAAGCAAATCCAGTCAGCATTACTGATATATCTCCTCCCCTCCCCAACCAATTCTGCTTTTAGATTTTCTCTTGGGAATATTTAGTCTTAGTCCCTAGAGGTCTTCTGTTGCCACAGATGCAGAGAGCTGAAGAACTGGACTGAACCACAACGTTCCCATTAATGATTGGAATCTCCAGGACTCAATGGGGGTAAGCAATACATGCAATTGTAAATGGATATATGCTACACTGCTAGGCTTTAGCAGCATTATCCTTGCAGCATCCATAAACCAAGGGTCCTATTGTCTTGGAACTATGTTACCATATGGCTTGACTTCAGCAAGCTTTGCCTTCATAAAAAGGGATGCTTTAAGGAATTAAGTTCTAAGTGTGAGTGTTTTCTTACTAATTAACACACTTTTATTGCTCTTTCAAAAATTAAGAGACAGTCTAAGTTTCACTTAATGATACCACAGGACAAGGGGAGCCCCTTTCTTTTCAGATGGCTGTCTATAATTTAATTATAGTCCTGTACAATCTAGTTTCACATCTGCTGCACCTGCAGACCACAGTGTTCAAAATGGTTTACCATTTTATCCCATTCAGTAACGCAATAATTCGTATTTTACCATACCAACCTAGCAATTGCAACCAAACAAAAATACAGAATGGATTTTTTAAAAGCAATAACAAACAATATAAGAGCTAAAACAATCTCTTTGCTGAAATGCATAACCCCATGTTCTACACATGATTTCTATGTAATTAAGCCATAATCCCCAAACAATCCGTAATTACTACCCACAGACAGTGGTTTAATAATGACCTGCAACAGAGAGAAATGGATGAGTTGGAAACTTTTAACTACAAGAGTGACATTTTTAAACCAATTTAAACTTTTAAATGAAATCATTTTAGAAGTACAATCCTATGCATGTTTCTTGAGAAAAAAAAATCTATAACTCCCAGTGTCCCCCAGTTAGCATGCAATTATAACCTTAATTAAGAATTTCTGGGAACAACCTCCTGGAATCTTGAAGAGCTAGTTCCAGTCAGTGCTGACAATACTTGGCTAGATGACACCAGTGGTCTGATTACAGAACATGTTATCCACAGAACATGTTATAAGGACATTTTAGTGTCCAAACAAAAAGAGTTTTTGGGTGACTCCTTTAATACCTCTATGTCTTGCACAGTCATGCCTGTATGTACAACATCTATCCTGAATGAACAAAATGAAAGTTTCATGAGCAAATGACTCTGTCAATGCAGTAGCAATATGGCTCAAAATACTGAGAATATTCCAGGATCTGCTGAATTGAGAGAAGTAGCAATGTTTAAGGACATACAGCTAGTAGGACATGCCAGTTATACTTTTCTTTAGCATATTGACTAGTTATCTTGTCACTATTTGTAGTTGGGCAAATCACCTTAAGTTTCCCAAGTAATTCCTAGTGGATCTGGTGACTAGGGATTATAGGTGTTTTAATCTAATCCATTTAGAAGGAACAATGTTGAGGAAGACTTGTCTATTTCATTACCCCAGAGACGCTCTAAGAAAGATTTTTTGATACTTTGGCTTGATGTGACAGTTGTCAAAGAATAAGCTGTCAAGGCAAAAGAAAGTCACAAGTGTTCTTGGCTCACAGAAGGGGTAGTTGATATATTTTCGTGTCCACAGTGAGATTTTTGATGTTTTGAGTGTCCCCCTCTCCACATAGATTACAGTGCCTTGTCCGAACTACCCTAGCTAGTCCTTCCCAAATTCCTGTTTTCAAAAAAAAACCCTGCTTCTGACAGCTGACAAAATCAATTGTTAGTGAAAGTAGGTTTTATTTTTCCACCTTCTTGAGCATGTAAAGCATCTGAAATGGATTGTAAAGTTAAGGGCACTGTCAAAGCCCTCAACCTGGCTCGGGACCAGGATATCTGAGGAAATGCTGACATCCATACATCCAGTAACAGGTAATCTCAGAGATCCTTCTCCATATTCCTCCCTCCAGTGAAGCAAGAGGGGAGATAGTGAAAAGAAGGGCCTTCTCTGTAATAGTGCCCTGATTATAAAACTAACTCCCATCTCAGATTTGGTTGGCACCAACCCTTTACTCTTTTAGGTGCCAGTTAAAAACTTACCTTTTCTATGATTATTTTGGCAGGTGAGCTGTTTTGTTAAATGGTTTTAATGGTTAGTGGTTTATGTTAATGGCTACTGCCATATTTTGATTTTAATGCTACATAATTTTAGTATGTATATTTTTATCAACCTCATTAGGCCATTTTAACATATATTGATTGCTCAGTTTTACAACTTTTTTCCTTTTTCTTTCTCCAACTGTGCTTTCAGTTTACTTTTTGGTTTATTTTATATTGTGATTATTATTCTTGTACTGTATTGTTGACTTGCTGAATGAATTGTATTGTTTTAATTGCTGAGAAAATGTCATCTGCTATGTTGTAAGCCGCCCAGAGAGCCTATGGCTTATACAGTAGCATACAAGCCAAATAAATAAATAAAGCAACTGACAACAGGATCCCCAGGCCATTGTCCAGGTGAAGTTCCCCAATTTTGGACCTACAGAACTGTCCATCTCTGCAGCTGTGTATCTCTGATGAAATCTTTTCTGGAAAAACAAAAACAAAACAAACCTCTGCATCTTTGTGGTTCCAACAACAACAACATCTGGCCAGACAATATGCCACTTAAGCACTTCAAAGGAGCTGTCAGTCATTTTCAATTAAAAGACAGCTGTTTGCCATTTTAGAGGAAAGTAGGGGCAAGGGGAGAAAGTTGTGTCAAGCAAGAGAGAGCTCAGAATCATGCCAGGGTGAAAGGAGGTAAAAGATGTGGAGTTGCCTGGGATACCTGAAAGAAGACTGAGAAAGAAGTGTGTGAAGGTAAGCAACCCGCAGTGAGCCTGAATGTCTACCAAGTGCACCATGGGTTGTACTTACAACAACCAATAATTGAGGCTTACTGCCAGGATGCATTAGTATGCATATATATGCATATGTGTGTGCACAATACCCCCCATATATATGAGTATGATGCACGTGCGTTAGGTCAGGTTATGCTTTTATGTCCATACTGCCGGGAAGGAGAAAAATCAGTGTATGGTTCCCTATGCTTTCCAGTAGGCTGGATGTGTTTAAGCTGCCAGTGGGGTAGGCAAGTGCTGTAAAATTAAGGATTGTGCAATAACCAGACAGAAGGAAGGAAAATAAAAGAGAATTTCAGGCTGCAACTGTATGAAAACTTACCTGAACACAATGGGACATTTTTCTAAACATATATGTATAACAATGTGCTTACAGCCACAGACCAGTATAATCTTACCTAAACATAAGTCCAATTGAATTCAGTGGAAGTTATCCCCAGGTAATGTTAATAATATTTATTTGATTTGTTACTGAATAATATAAAGACGTATGGGTGGGACAATGAAGAAGCAAGAGAAAGTCTTTTATAAAGGTTGATTTTTTTTGTATGAATTTTAATAGTTAGTGAAGGTTTCAGGATTTAACCCCCTCTTCAGAGTCTGCAAATACATTTCCAAGTGGATACTAAAGTCATTTGTTTTTTAGTGCATGTGCATGTACCTACACAGAGAAAGACACAGGCAATACATAAGTAG